CTTTCGACAGTGCATGGACTTCATATGTTATTGAACAAAAGTGACGCTAAGATTGATGAGTATTGGCCTCGTCAGTTCCTTTGTTGTATTTTTCAGTCAGGCCTTGGATCCCTTCCATACTTATATTTATACACCTATTTTAAGAGTATACCTTTCAACTCGCACGCCTTCTCGTCAAGTCTGAGGGTTCAAAACTTCAGTCTTTTGCCAACTAGTTATAATTCTGTGCTACAAATTTCTCATGCCTGAAAATTCTGTTAAATCGAAAAAGCCTCTATGGGGCAAATCATTTTGTCGAAAAGGGCCTTGCCAAAAGTTTTCTGTAAAAGGTATGCACACAGTTTCTCCCCTGCATTCCAAATTATTTCTATGCTGTTGACTTAATTGAATTTCCGTTTATAGTCTTGACATTATGGCAAGGTAGTCATCTTGACTTGTTCTTTAGGGGGGGCAGAAACAGCTGTGGCAAATTGCGGAAAACACCGTGTATTACTTTGAGAAATTATCTGGCATTTAGTCATATTTAATAATAAAGATGGAGTTACCGGACAATTCCACCATTTTCAGCTATCTCTTACTAAGTTTGCTTAACCTATTTAAACTTAGACATTTTATTACTAATGATATTCTCATCCAACCATTCATACTGCCCTTTCACGTTGCAGTTTCATCATAATTTGCTACCTAACGCTTTTGACACCTTCTTTTCACTTATATCATCTAAGCATGGCTAAAATACTAGGCTAGCATCAAAGTCAACTTATTATATCGATCAGGTTAGAAGTAATTACGGTAAATTTAGTATGCACTTCTCTCGTCCCTCTGTTTCGAATAATCTGGATCAAAATTAGTTCTTTGCATTTATTTAAGCAAACGATGAAGGAACATTTCTTATCCTCTTACTTTTGATGCTGACTACCATTGTTGATTGACCCTAATTAATGTAAAGTTTATAGTTATCTAGCACCGTTTTGTTTTGCTCTATTTTATTTCATTTATTTATTTTATTATTCTCCTTAATTTAATTTATTTTCCTCTTTATCTTTGGTGTGTCACAACCCTATAGAATGCAATTTGATCAGCTCGTTTAGTTTTTTTTGCTATTCTGGGTAGATTTTTCACTGTTTTACTTTAATTTATTCTGGTCTTGTAAACCTTTTTTTATTTTGGCAAATAAACTGTTTGGTTGTTGTTCTCTTCCAATTTGCTTTGCTTATCTATTTTTTGCTCAAAGTTTGTTTTCTGGCACTTTTAAGTTAAAAAAAATGTTTCTTCGACTTTGGCTCATACTACAGAAAGTTGACAGTGACCTACGACGGTCTCACACTTTAAATCAGCAAGATCTGTTTTAGCCCTAAAAAAGGGGCCGTTTCGGTGAGTAAAATACAGTCCTATTTTTGGGTCTAATTTGGCTCCCTTAAATCAGGGCCAATACTTTAAGGCCAATACAGTCCAATTAGCTAGGGCTGATTTGGTCCCAGGGCTGAAATGGGCCCTACCATGGGCTGGAATAGCCTTTTGATAGAGCTTTTTTGGCCTAAATTGTGCTCAAATGGCTCCAAGAAGGGCTGAATCAGACTTTGGCCGGCAGGGCTGAATTGACACTTTGGGGCTGAAACAGATCTTTCTAATTTACAGTGCAAATCAGCCGAGGATATAAACTTTAATAAGCTTACACAAGAGATCATAATTTTTTAGGATCTCTTGGCTTACTTTTGAAAGCAGAGTTTATCTATAAAGCCTAACTCGGATAACACAAAGCCAGAAAGGGTGATAGATGGCACTGCAAACTTTTAAACAGTCTTTAGAACTTACCAGCGAGGTTAATCTACGCCTGAGCGGTCCTGAGTGTTTCCTTATTTTTCGTGAAAGAGGCGGTTTCGAGAGGTTCATCATAAGCGAGAGTACGCCTGTCAGAGTTCACTTTCAGTTCTTGCTGCAAACTGAAACAGGCGAGGAATGGGTAAACTCTGGTAAACTAAAGCGTTGTTACGCTTGAAGTAAACTAAAATAATTTTTTGGTTGAAATAGAAACTCACCTTTCGAAGGCAATCGGTATTGAGCTCAAAAGCAAGGGCAGAGTTTTTATTTCCCGTCGTATTTCGGCGGCCGCGGCGGACAGCAGCCCGGACGTAGAGAAATTTCGCGCGCTTTTTAAACCCACCAATCGACCAACCTCGTTTCCAGAGTTGTGCATAGCCACGGTAGACGTACGTTGTTTTCTTTTTCTTTTCGAAAATCGAATAGCAGTCAATAAATCTTCCCGGTTTTTTGAGGTTTCTTTTACTGGTTACATTAAATAAACCAAATAGTTTTTGGTTTAAAAAAACCTTTTAAGATAAAGTAGTAGGAATGAAACCTGTAAAAAATACGTGCCACTTACAAAGCGCAGTAGAGCAACTGAAAACTAAAGTTCCCAGTAAGTCCTAGGGTCATTAATGATAGTTGAACTAGTAGGGGAACTGACAAGCCCTGGAGGATTGTCTTAAAACGTAGGTCTAGCTACCGGGAGATCGACTAGATCATGCCGGCAAAAATCCAGCTCGGATGACCAAGGTCTCGCATCAAAGAAAAATATAGTAAGCCGACCATGTGACCTTTGAGGGAGGGGGGGGTGGGGAGGGCCGGAGGGGGGAAAGGTATGATTGCTTTGGTTTGGGTAAGATTTTTGTTCCCAAACCTTTGCTGATATAATTTTTTTTCCTCTGACATACAACGCCGTTGTATGTCAGGTATTTCCCTGCAAGATTTTTTCCCTCGGAATCACTCTGTAGGATATTTTTTTCTGAAATCATTCATACCCCGCCTCAAAAGTCAAATGGTCGGCCCCTTAGCAGCATTGAGGCTTCTTTTGTGAGTTTATCGTCAGAAAAGATCTGAGTAGTGCCAAAGTAATGCCAAAAGAACTTTGCGAACTGCGGCAAACATCATAATAATCTAGTCGCGTACAAACTATCAGAACAACAGACCAATTTCCACCGATATTACTGAATATTTACAATAATTAGAATTCATACCCTGAGGCTTGGGGTAATAAATTAAAAGAAATAATTTTGAGGTTCAGGGATGAATAATGCTCAAATTTATAACACTTTTCTCTTCCTGATTACTTTCCCCAAATCCTGAGAGTTGAGTATGAATTTTTAGATTATCAAAATTTGTGTATTCTATCCCGGTTGATCGACCGGCTTTCAAATCAACGCAAGGCCGGGCTAATGCTTTCCTAGTCAACTGAGCTGACCCCACTGGGCCCATATATAGACTGGCCTTGAGGAGGCTACGTCAGGAGGATATTGCTGCCTTAGGTTCATCGCTTAGTGCCTTTACCCAAACTGATGCACCAAAATGTTTCAGTAGAGTTATGAAGATATTGAAAAAATTCAATTTCCATCAGTGAGCACTACCCTTATATGTTGCCAGTCCGTAGCAAAAGACGACAAAAAAAGTTTCAATGACTAAACTAAAATAGTCTTCAAAAACAAAACTGTACTGATTAGTGTAATTCGACTGATGCGAATACACGTTTTATCTTTTTAACAAGATAGCATTTAGCGCGACATACCGCCTTTGAGTCTTATTTGTTGCCTCGGAGAAGATCATGACGGCCGATCATGACAATAATTGCCATGCTATGATTGATCACGTGCCCAGAGCCTTACAAACACGTGCCTGGTAATCACCAACTGCATGAGGTACATATGACAGTACAGAGTCTAAAATACTAATTCTTAGTCTTTCTAGTTGGATTAGTTGCCATTGCGTCTAAATTTACCAATATCACAATGGTTTAAGCGCGAGTAGGTTCCAGAGGTTCGTAGAGTGTGGGTACTCCAAGGACGAAGGTGGATTCCAGTTCTAAAATGTGAATTGTGTGAGTTGATCAAAAATACAAAAAAAAATGGAATTGGTGAAACCTTGAAGCTGATGGGATACTGGTCCTACATATCGTTGCTTTTACAACCCCAACCCCCCCCCCCCCCCCCCCCCCAACCAACCCCAAGCGGAAAAAACTTTTCTTTTGATAATTCCATTAATGAACATAACCACCACTATATGGCTACTCCATTTTATTATTTACACGTATATGTACATATGCCTAACAATACTAACAATTTATTCGCGACTAATAACAAAACAAAATAAAAATATATTTTTTTTTGATTAGTGTAATTAAGTAGACCCCCCCCCCCCCCCCCCCCCCACCCCCGAAAGCCACACCAGAGGATAACATTTATTATTATTATCATTGCATAATGCAAATATAGAGCTATGATTGGCTTAGCCATTATATTATATGAGCGATTATGCCATGCTCTCCAAATATGGTAACTGTATGCGTCTGCTCAAAATTAAAAACAAGCTGAAAATCGTTTTTTTTTTACAAATGAAGTCGGGAAGAATTCTCGATATTTTGTGGGCGTTTTTAATAAAACAATTATTCCACCCGCGCTTGTTGGATATGACATGATTATATCCAACTCGGCGCTACGCACCTCGTTGGCTACCTACCATCTCATATCCAACGCCCCCTTGTGCTAAATATAGACAGGTAACAATGGTGATACATAATAAAACTCTTTCAACACAAGACTTCCTCCAAACTTCATTTCCGAGTTGAACTCCAAATTTCTTATTATACGTTCCAAAATAAAAGGGCACTATGGTAAATATTGTTGTTGATGAGATATTTGAACCTCGTTCCCAGGCCCCCTTCCTCCCGTCCCCTGGATTACTCGAATGTTAGCTACGCAAATAACTTCGTTAATACTAACAACCATGCCGGAAAGAAACCTCTGCTAGCAAGGTAAACATCTCTGCTAGCTGTTTTTAGTTTTTTAGAAAAAGAAGTACAATCCAAGTCACGTGACACATTTGTGTAGACAATAACTTATTTTATGCAATGATATTATTGAAACATGTATTTTACAAAGAGTTGATATGTTAATATAAATAGTTCCCCTCATTCACTTTCTACAGTTCGAATCCAAACGAAAATTCCGAATGAGAAACCTTATAAATATATAGCGCCTATGTACTGTTATGTAAATTTTCATTCATTATGTACATATGGATTTCGAACAAAGACATTTATTTACTTGAGTCAGGCCTGTGATTTACTCCTTTAAACCCAGAGGCTGACAAATACATCCATTATCTTCTTCTCACAGATGAAGGCATAAGATCTCAGTTGACAAAACTGTCCGGGATTTTTGACCTAGTAGTATTACACTTCATATAGAGAAGCGGTCACTGTTAACAAGGAAGCTTTAAAACTTGAGTGGGTCATCTTTTTGGCTCTTTAACAGCAACAGTTACTCTTAGACTGTTTCCAGGTTTTTGGCACTGGAATTGGTATTTTGCCTTAAATTTATCTTATCAGTCTCTCACTGTTTCACTAATTACATCACTGCAATTACAAATTTTCATCTTCTGAACGGGGTAAGTGGACCCAAAGACGTTCAACTTCTTTATGACGCCATCAACTTCTGCGTACGCCCGCTGCCTGTTTAGTGGGCCGCACAGCAACACCACTCACTGATAGTTCATCCACAGACTTGGTCCCATTCCTTGGCGGATTTTTTCTTGGCTTTAGTCTCGGAGTGGACTGGGTTGAGTCGGTTCCGCTGATCTCGGCTGGTCCGCGGTATCTCTTTTGAATGGTGTGTCCCTTCCCGTAGTTGACCCCATACTGATGAACAGTGGAGGGCGGGGTCACACTTGTCCAGAAAGTCTGAAGTTCGCCTGAAAATATTACCAACAAATAAACCAACTATCCATGACCAATAAAGTAAGTGCTTATGTAGACCTCGTGAAAAGCTTTTATGTTGCCTTAACTCTGAAGTGCCAAGAGCGACCAAAATCAATTTTCTCCGGACAATGTCATTACATTATCAAGAGAGAAGGGCATGAGAAATAATAAAATAATGACCAAGGGAAAATTCTTTGATCTTGTAACAAATCTTCTCCACTAATTCTTTAAGGAAATGTATAGAGATTAATCAGTCTGGAGAATTTATATGTGGATATTGGGGCTTAGAAGGTTGAAGAACAAGAAATAGGAGAAGTTTGCATGAAAGCTACCGAACTAATGTGTTTAAGCAATTAACTCGAAGGCATGTAAAAAGGCTTGAGTTAGTTCCTTTCATAATCGATTATCGAACTCTAGCTTTCGATGTTCGCACGAAACTCAAGTCTTCCGACATGTAGGAAAAATACCAAAACATAAATACTGTTAACGACTTTCATTTTTTGTTTTCATTGCGAATTTAAAAACTCATAAAGACGTATGTTTACCCTGTTTAAACAAAAACCTGGGAAAAGAGAAACAAAAGAATGAGAGAGAAAGAAACTGTACCAAGACACAGAGAGGCACAGTTTCACTAACCCTAAGTCACTTGCCACATATTGTAACAAGTTTACTTATCTTTAAATAATTAATCCAACACTGACCTTCCACTGGATTACTAGCTGCTGATCCAGCTGCTTTCACGACTGTCTTTCTTCTTTCTTGATCAGTGCTTTGCGTGGTTGTGGTTTTACTGAGACTTGACCCTCTCGATCGTCGCGATACAACATGTTTTCTTGCATCTGTGTGCTGTCCTCCGTACAACCGATTCCTCTGAGCCAAAGCAGCCGCCGCCCTCTGCCTTGCTGCTTCTTGAAGTTCTTCCTTACGTGTGCGCCGAGGTTTTACTGAAAATATTTGTACTCAGTTAATAATAAAACACGGACGAGTGAGCTGAGAGTATTTTGTAGCGAGAGTTTTAAGGAAAATAAAATGCAAACTCCAATTTAACTTTCAAACCGTATTGTGAAGGGTATTATTAAGGACTATGTATGAACAGAAGGGTAAGTGGGAGCTTCCTCTGAAAAACTGCTTTTTACATTGTATGAAACGCAAATTCATCCTGCCTCGAGTGTCTTCAACTTAGTATTGAGAAAATTTTGTTCTCATAGTCGTCCTGTCTTAGAATCTTAAGGTCTCTCATGATGGTGATGACGACGAAGACGACGACGACAATGACAACGACTTAAAATATTAAGCGGTGCCGCTGAATATCGACACTAATGTTTAGAAGCCAACAACACTCACCTCTCAAGACCTTGCCCTCATCTAAAGAGGCGGATCGCAGTCTTCTGGGCTTCCTTTGAGTGACCTTGTTCAGCTTAGTTCTCACAGCCCCTTTCCTCTTGTCCACAGGTACCGAGTCTTCTGATGAAGCGTCTGCAGCTCTCCTGTCAATCACAGATAAGTCACTCATGCTAAGTGATGCCTTCACTGGTATCCTCGAGTCCGGTTTCTCCTTCTGACTTCCGACAGCTTGGTCATGCGCGCGCATATCCGTTACAGAGTTGGATTTTGAAGGAAGCTCGTCATCAATCTCCACTCTACTTTGGCTAAGACCCTTTTCGAGTCCAACACGTCGTCGTGCGGCGATCTCGGCGATTTTTCTTGTCCTAGCAAAGACAGGACTAGCTGGAGTCACTGGTCTGACTTCTTCACCTACTTCTTCAGTCATGGATGACGGCGTCGGTGAGGTGCGCTCACTTTCACCATCGTCGGTCAAACTGAGGAGCTTTTTCATATTCTTAGGTGTGGGGAGAGATGGCTGAGACCTGACAATGGAAGAAAAACACATACAGGAATGAAAATAATGTGGTTTTTTTAGGATGAGACGTATGTCCAACCAGCCTGTGTACAGCGGTGGCGGTACACAAGCTAGTGTCCGACAAGGTGAAAATTTCAGTAGGACAAACAAGAACAGTTGTCGATTATATATAACACTGACTTGTAATTTCTTCAAGTACCATGCAAACCATCAGCATCAAAATGATAGTCTTCTGTATTTGAACTGTGCATAAGAACATACCTTTCTTGGTAGGCGAGCACTGAAGAATTTCAGTTTGTTCTAGTCTTCAGGCGTTGTTTTGGTTTCTGGAAGTATGAATCCCACTACCTTAAACGTGTCGCATGTGCCTTCCCAAACGGTTACCGTAAACTTCCGCTTATAAGCCCTGGGCTTATACATCTTATAAGGGGTTTATATCCGACGGTGCTTACAACCGAAATAGAGAGGTTTAGATTCTAAGACGAGGACGACTACGAGTGCGTCATTTTGGCGGGAAACGTGATAGCCGCCGTCATTCTACTACGAGTTTTAGCGAGAATGTCGTAGTGGCGGGAACAAGTTACCCCAAGGACGCAGTTTTATCATTTTGCTACCGGGAAAGGGCTTAACCTCCTTCAGTATAAATAACCGTACTAACTTTTTTCCCAAGCTTTTGAAAACAGGAAGAAAACTTTAAGTTAAATCTTGTACTCGTACTCGCCCTCAAATCTAAAGCTCTCTACAGTAAAAGTGTGGATCTATTTAGGTTACTGGAAAACTGCCCACCTACCCCTCCCCTAAGCCATCATTTAGCCCTAAGTGAGCAGTGGTAATATTAGCTTAGAGGAGGGGTAGGTGGGCAGTTTCCCAGAAACCTAAATTGATTCAAAAGCACTTCGAAACAAGCTATAGCAGAGCAGAGTTGATTAAAATACGTTTTACACTTATTATACCACTACATGCGAAATTTCTGCAATTTGATTGGCTTAGAGCAGTGGTATTTCAGCTTAATATGAAATACCTACATGTGAAAATTACAACCTTTTGCGGGTAGTAGTATAAACAAATAATAGCATGATTTGTACGTGATATTTGGCATAAATACCACTCGTGATATATTTCAAAATTGTCTCAAATAACAATTTTGAAATATCACTCTTGGTATTTATGCCAAATATCACTACAAATCGCGCTATTACCTATACTAATTATTTTGGTCCCGTTTATTTATCCCATGAGACCATGTGTTATTTGTCAAGGAACACTGTGATACTGAAAAGAAAGATGGCGTGCTCCTTTGCAACTCTGAGAAAAATCTGCCGAAAGTGAAGCCACCGGCAATCGAATTTATTTCAATATACATCTGAGGTGGGCTTATATCCAGGGGGGGAGGGAGGGGGAAGGGGCTTATAATCGGGGGTGGGCTTATAAGTGGGAGAGCTTATAGAGCGTTTTCACTCACCTAGCGAGCATCTATGCTAATTTATTGGAACAAAAGAAAGCGTTTGCATAAGAAAAGAGTTCAACTCCCACAGGACTGGTTTGGGACACCAACATGGCCGCCGTTTCATTGTTTTGGGACAACAATATGGCCGCCGTGACGTCACGTGAAAACACTCTGTTAGGTACCGGTATTTTCAATCCTAACGCCCACAGAAAATACATTGCGAAAAACAGGAAAAAGTTATTAATAGCACAAATCAAATAAGCCGATCTGATTTAAGAAAGAAGTTTCTCACCTGGCTTCCTCTTCTACGAATACGTCATCGGACATTTGAGGGCGAGTGGAAGGAGTGGCACGTGACATTTTTACTGGTGAGTTCTGAAGGGACACCATACGTGATGGAGTCTCTTCACTCAAGGGCGACAGCTTACTGAAGGTAACTAAGAAGGAAAACAATTCAGTTTAATTCGACGTACATGTTTAAGAATTGTCCCTGATTCTAGGAGGCTTTGCCGTTAGTTTGTAAGAATTACCCCGGAAATTATATCCATGTTATACGCACTCTGTGATGTTCTTATTTCTCGCCAAAAAAGGAATGTTTCAAAGGATTACACGCCGTTAATAACTAACAATATTGGAGGGGTACGAAAGCCACTTTTAATTTGAACAATTGAGAATCAGAGTAAAAAACATAACGAACATGAATCGACGGTGATAGACCTAAGATACAGATAAGGATAGCATGGTGCAGGGTAAGCGAGTGCAAGTTAATGATTTCCCTAGTTCCGCGTTGGGCAGCTTTATACACTCTTTTTTTTATATATAAGAATTTATTTTGTAAGAATATCGAGGCAGGAATTTGCGAAATTTTAAGAATATGTTAAGAATAAACCCGAGGCGGAGAGTTTGAAAAAGACTTTTGTTGGCGTTTGAAAATCTGTAAATACAGTAGAAACTTAACAGTAGAAAATCATTCCTTTCTCTAAACGGCAAGAACACTGGTGATGGAAACCCCAATACACGCTAAAGCGGCTCTAGTTATGATTGGTTGACTTGATTGGCCACCTCTGAAGTACACGCCTAGAGTAAGTACTTCGCTTGCAATTTAACAATGAAATACGTTTTTCACAACGCACGCATACTTACATAATCTTTCTCGTGCCAAAGGCATCATTCGTCGATTAACTCCTGCTAGAAGTGATGCCTGAAAAAGGGTTTATTACATTAGAAAAATAAATTAACGCAATAATGGCTTGTAGCCTTCAACCAGTCTCGAGTCACGTATTCTAGCTAGTAAACGACCACACTTAAACAGGGCCATAGCTCCGCCTTTAGACTTGGCTAGGGAAACCATTTCCGACTTCCAAAAAGCCTCGCTTTTAAAATGAGGCTGAGTCCAAAATCTGTCATGGAAAATGAGTTTCAAATCAAAAAGAGGCTTAAGAGTAATTCGGAAATGCCCTCTTCATACTCTACTTTAACTCAATTCAAGGAAGCAATTCTTTCTGGAGAAATGCAATCAGAGAGCTGTGTTGTAAAGCACGAAAAGATGTAAATTTTTACTTTTTGAATAGAGTTCAAAGAGGTTGCCGTGTTTTCTTCTGTACTCGCGGTGTTCTCCCGTTGTTCAAAGTCAGCCGACTGCTCCATGTAAACCTCATAAAGTGCATCTAGTTCTGCAGAACACTGGACTCCTGAATCTTAAAAAATAAAAACAGGACATCATAAAGGGTATACTCCATTCCAACATAAACAAGCGGTTATCCACATTCCCTCTAACCGTAACATCGGACGTAATAGACCTTGTCACGGTTTTCGACGCCTTCTTGACGAGTAGGCAAACGCGTGAGAAATTACAGTATTATGAGAATCTAATGTCGAATAATTTCCGTAAAACGGCTGTTTTGAAAAAAATGTGAATTGTAAACTAAAGCTACACAGCTAACAAAAACTAACAAATTTTGGGGCCGTTACTGTGCGTAAATTTCTCCAGACACTTGCTTTAGATTTTTCATATATTCGTCTGTCATTTTTCCGAGGATTGAGTCAAGCAAGGGAACGCCGTTCAGGTTCCTGATCTAAATAGAAATTGCGTAGTTAAAAATCACCCAACGAATCCACTGTTTTAACGGCTTTCACTTTGTTATTTGGTTCTGAATTGAACTTCTTCTTCATAGAACACTACAGGAAGCTTACCATTAATGAACCCTCTTTGCATCTGAATAATTTCATCGCACAGTCTCTGTCTCGACTCAAATTTATTCATTTCCAAGTCTTTTTGACGCAGTAAGTTCTCTCTTAGCAATGAGCTCGACTGTAATTCGGCATTTGTTATCTCTAGCTCGTGCACCTTGCACAGCAAACCCAAGATTTCTCGATTTTCCTCGCTGCTGATTTTCTTGGGTAAAAGCTCCTCCAAAGCTTCGACCTCCTTTCTTGTTTGCTGAAGTTTTCCCTGTAAATCAGTTTTCAGTTCTGAGGTGCGTTTTTCTTCTGCAATTAGCGTAGTGATTTCGTCTCGCGCAAAAGCAACCTCCTCGGGTTCTACAATCGTTGTAGCTTCATTATTTTTTGGTTCTGATGCCTGATTCTTTTCAGTGTCCAAGTCTTTGCTTTCTACATCCTCTAAACTGTCTGATTTCAAAAGTGTGCCTTCTCGGCTGTTTTCGTTGGAAAAGTCCTCATTCTGCGTAGAGGAATCACTGCTCTGTTTTCCTGATTCCGAAACTAACGCTTCGGATTTTTCAGATAGGGTTCTTGACGTTTTTCGAACTCCCCGTCTGGCCTTCTCTTGTTCCCACCTGAAATTATAAAGTAAAGGGAAGAAGTCAAAAGTTAAGAAACTAGAGCACAAAAAAGATAACGTTTGTTTAAAGCACGGTACATGAGAGTCACATTCATTGTATTAGACTTAGAGTATGTTCACACTGTACGGGATAGCTTTCCATGCCGACACAAAAACTACCCGGAATAGTATGAACATCCATCCGATATGAGACTCTCCTCTTTAAGGTGACGTTACACGAGACGATTGAAAACGACGGTTTTTAGAGTAACATCGTTGCAACATTGTTTCGAATGGTTACAACATTTTTCCACCGTTGCAACGTTGTGTTGCGCTAAAAATCCTCCTTGCAAATCGTCCCGTGTAAAATCACCTTAAGAGATCGGGGCGGCGCAGCTCCGCTCGGTTACTGAAATCGCGCCGAAATCAACGTCTGGTGCCATTCTCAAGAAAGAGGGAAAGTCACATTACTAATTAATCTTTCTTCCAGCGGGCTTTCGTCTACTCAACCAACATTTTTCCATTGCAAACTCTTCTGAGCCTTTAATCGAAAAAACATTTGTCTTATTTCCTCAATGACAGTAATGTTAGCTGGAAAGGATTTCTCATAAGATTGTCTTACACTTACTCGTCAATGACTAACATATATCGGTTCATGTCCAGTGAAATCTGCATTGCTGTATCCTCCAGTTCGATAAGTTTGCGCCTAAAATTGAAAAATAGTACTGTTGGTCCTTATTTCCTACCATGGGCCTTCCGCAAATGTCTCTTATTCCAGGGTTTGTACAGATTTTTGGATCCATAATTCAAGACTTTTTCCATAGTTTTTTCCCAAAACAATAATTTCTTTTTCCAGACTCCAGGTAATAGGTGACTTGACTTATCATTCCTCTTTGGCAGGTACTAAGCATACACGGAAACACCATTCTTTTTTTCTTGTTTTGAAAAGCAAAACTTAACTTGCATACTTTCCATCCTGTTCTGGCTATTTTGTCTATTTTTCTAAAGAAATTAACCTGATATCCATCTGCTCTTTGAATGTACCAACAAGCTGATCTCTCAGTCTATTCATCTCCTCTGGATTCTTGTCCTTGCACTCCTCTTTTTCTTCCAGAACAAAAGAGAACAACGTCAAGCAAGGTCTACATCACTTTAGGGGTGGAGCCAGAAAGAATACAATAGTACAACATCATGCAGAGATTATGAGTTACACACAAAGCTAGCCTGTGTACAGCCACCCCCCTCCCCCGCTGAGGAGGGGAGGGGGCGGCTGTACATAGGCTAGAACAAAGCTAGCCTGCGAGCAAGCTCTCCTGTTTGGGCGAATGAAACGAGTCTCGCGAGAACTCGCGAGCGAGTGGTGAAGCCGCGAGCTCGCGAGGCTTGCTTTGCTTCCCTAAACAGGAGAGCTTGCTTGCAGGCTAGCACAAAGCAAATAAGATCACTTATTCAAGCTTGCCCTGCGAGGTTAATATCAACACGAGATTGAGGTTTTAGAATCACTGGTATTACATGTACAATCAAGTGTAAACCATGGAATTTGGCATGTATAAAAGTTGAACTGATGTTCTTAGCCTGCGAGCAAGCTCTCTGTGGCACTCTGGCAGCGGGGTGGGAAAAGGAAGGAGGGCGTGCAACTACGTCTCTGGAATTGGAACATCTGCATAAAAAAGTTGATGAGAAATGCTGATTGACGGTGATGACATTAGTAATGATGTCATTACCCTTGGCACATGATTTTCAATGTTTGTTTACATTCGCACTTGTTTCCATTTCGCGCTGATTGGCCGAAATCTGACAGCTCAGTCAACGGGAAAACACAGAGGAATTGGAGGTGGAATTCAAATTCCAGAGACATAGTTGCAAGCTCTCCTTCCTTTTCCCGCCCCACTGCCAGAGCACCCACAAGAGCTTTCTTGCAGGCTAATGTTCTTAGCCTGCAGGCAAGCTTTCTGGGAAGTTATGGGGGCCACAAGATAGCTTGCTTGCAGGCTATGATGTCCTTTCTCTTTCTTTCAACATAACAAGATGTCAAAAAGTAAAAGGAATACATTGGAACACTAAAATCAATGACATGTTTTATTATAATTACCTCTATAAGAGAAAGCTGATAACTTAATGTGTTGTCTTTCAGAAACTTACTTGAGCTGTTGCCATCGTTTGATTCTGTGTCATGTTCAGATATTTTGAGCTTGAGCCGAAAGATTTCCTTCCTCAAATCAGCAATGATGTTGGTATACTGTGCAATGTGGTAAGACACGCTGAACTGGTTTGGCTTCACCTGCCAACATCAACAAAAATTAGTAAAAATTAAAGACAGACCCAGGGGGTCTTCCTTGTATAAACCATATACTGGTAGGTATGTGCCGCCCCAAAGGGTATGGTTTTTGGGCCATTTTGGTCTGAAAATTGGATACAGAATTTGCCCATTTTGCTTTGGAGACAAGTATGGTTTTCAAGGGAACCATGGAAGTGCATAAGAAAGAAAGGGGCCAAGATCTGAAAAATAGGGCAGTACACCCCAGCTAGGAAGTCCCAAGTCCCTTTGGAAGACAGATCATTGCAGTATTGTCTTAGGCCCTGTCCACACTTATCTGGGAACAAGCATCCACTCCTAGCATATTTGAATCTTTTGGCCCGTTCATATAAAAACACATAAACGATCGAAATATGATAACATTCCTTACAGAGAAAGCGTAATTCTGGTACTGTATTCGAAAACCTCCGTTTTTGTCTGTCCACACACGGGAAAGTTCCCGGAAGAAGAGGCTATATTTCCACATGCCAGTTGACACAGCGAAAATTCTACCCACTGTTGTTCTCACAACTGCACCATCCATTGCTTCCCTTGTTCATACTTACATTTGTTTTGATATTCTTGGCTCTGTCTGCATACAAAAGAGTGTTGCGAGTCTCTTCAAATGAACCGCTTGCTGGACTTGCATGAGCAATCATGACTGTTCTGCAGTTACCACCCAAGGAGTCCTACACCAAAAAAAAGCAAGCCCCTATTACATTAGAGCAACTTACAACTTGTCTTACAATTTTAGGCACCGAAAATTAAGAAGTCTATGTAGAAAACATAGAACTTTGTTCTATTTTCAAGCAAGCTTTACACTTCCATACCTTCAATAGTCTTGTCAATTTGCTGTCTCTGTAGTTGACATAATGACCTCGGTTTTCACCTAAGAAAGGATAAAAGTAAGTTTACATGAGTAATTTACAAGTGTAGCCATTGTTTTAGAGTCTAAGAACAATAGCCACACTTGTAAATTACATGTGTAAAAGTTTTATTAAATTGACATCCCAGATCTCCAGAGATTGCCATCTCAGTGCATCCCGCTTGATCATAATAAGCTTTTTTAAAATAACATCACATACTCAATGCATTGATGCAGTTTCCAAGTGCAAGCAAAGATCTGTTGATGTGTGCCCCTTCTATCATTCTCTTTCCACGATTCTAGAAGACAGAAAAAGACAGAAAACAGACATGAGCACTGTTCACCCATGACCCCCCCTTGGTAGGCCTTCTTTTGAGCAAACAACCTACAATATTCAGGTGGCGAAAACGCCATGACAATATCTTGGCCGTAAAAGCCATTGTTGAAAAGGCCACTTTTTTAAAATTTGGTTTTTTGTAAAGTATTTTCGTCAAAGGCTCTTGTCTTTAGTTAATATTGGCCTTCATGCTGCGATAATATGACTGAGCCCGCTGATACATGAGGGAGAGCAGCGGTATAAACCATATATAGTCAGCAATCCCAGGATGGTATCCCTGCTGTGACCCCCCCTTCGAAAAATCCTGCCCCCCCATTGTTGTGAGTAATTGCCTTTCTGGGCCGCAAAATAAGTGAGGCCCCATGATAAAAGATGGAGGGAGGCGTGGATACACCATTAAGATCAGCAATCCCCGGGAGGGCTCCCCTCCGTGGTCCCCCCTTCCGAAATCCCCCCCCCCCCCCCCCCCCGGAAATCATTTGCAAACCTTTGTTTGTGCAGCTCTCTCTGATCCTGCCAAGTCAATCATAAACAGCTTTCCAACTCTGAATTCATCAATGGTGTTCTTGACACGACTTTTCTGGGTGACTGTAACCTATTTAAAAAGGTGTAAAATCAGTTGTACAGTCGCCTCCTGATAACTCGAACCTCCCGCTATCTCGAAGCAATTGTCATTTCCCTTCAGAACATTTTCTATTTACCCTTGATAACTTGAACGCCAGGTAACTCAAACTTTTTTTTGTTTCCCTTGAAGGTTCGAATTATCAGGAGTCTACTGTAGATACATTGCAAAACAGACACAATCATTACGTTCCACGACTCAAAAACTTGGCGTACTGCTAAAATGCAAGGTAGTGGTAACAAGGTAACTACAACTGCGGCAGCGTTAGCTCAGTCGGTAGAGCGCTTGACTGCAGAGCGGGAGGTTGCAGGTTCGATTTTCCTGGGGCCAGACCAATACTCAGGGTCTTAAAATAACTGAGAAATGAAGGTACTCTCTTTGTACTGCAAGCGGCTAGACCTTCACATGGCTTGGAAGACCACATAAAATGGCGGTCTTGTCTCCAGTAAGAGGCGGAAAAAATTGTGTCCCCAATTAGTACTTTTGTGCTAAATACATTGACTCTCATATAAAGTGCATTTTATTGATATATTAAATTAATAAATAAATAAAATGCACTTTCATTGAATTTATTAACCTGTGACAAGAATGACTTGTATCAAAGTAACATTTTAACAGGGGAAGTAATAAGGGTTTAAGGTGAAGGTGAAACAAGAAAACACATATCTTTTTCCAACCTGTAGGACGGCATGAGATCTTGATGAGGTTTTGTTTGCTGCTGTTGGTTCAGAGGTTCTCTGTTTGTTCCCCATCACAAGTAGGTCCATTACCTACAAAAGGGGGAAAAAATTAAACACCACAGTCAGAAATAAAGGAAATAAAAGATAAATGGTAGAAATTGAAAAAATTATTGTTAAAGCTAAATAAAATATTTCAAGTTCACCATAAAATTCAAATTTTAAGAAGACCAAACCTTGAACATGAAACCACAAGTTCACCAAGATGCATGTATGGCTACAATCAATATTTACCTCACTAGTTTTCTTAGCTTGTACTTCAGAGATACCAGCAACAACCACTCCCTTACTATCTTCTCGTAACTCAAGGAATCCAGAAGATGGGTTTAACAAGTCACGAATCATTTCATTGTAGATCTGTTGAAGTAGAACACACATTACATCATTATAGAGTCAAAATTAAGATGTAGGCATATCAGGTCTAAGAGAATGTTTGTGCAGTAGCACATTGAAAACTTTGACGGTTATAATATTCCTAACCTCTAAATATGACATTGAAACCTTGTACTTCATGTCTTCCTTGGTTCTGTCCATTTCATAAAAAAGGTCATTCAAGGCACGTGCCATTATGCCAGGCTCTCTGTCAGTACCCAACATTGTAAATGTCTTTCCAGCTCCTAAAAATTAATTCAGAAAAAATAATGAAAAAATTCTTCTAACATTGCATCAGGACAGTTTCAAAAATCACCAATTCGATCACAATTAAGGGATGGACCATTATTAATTTAAAGGGGGCGGGGGCTTATTTGAAAATACAGGGAGGTCAAGTTTAATTTTCCTGACCTCACCCCCTCCCCCCCCCCCTGTTTGTGAAGGATATTTTTTCTGACCCGCCCTCCTCCTACATGTACCAGCTCTCTTTACTGATTGACTATTCACGAGACTTTTTTCTCAAATAAAAACAACATTTCTCTCGTCCCAAAACTTCTGAAATTGAAGGCATCTCGGTTCTTTTGCACTCATCACCTTTCACTCGCTTGACAAAATTATGAGAGTTCTGGGGTAGAGGGGGATGAAATTTTAAGGGGGTTTTAACAACTGAGAACCAATGCTAGTTAACTTAAAACAGATAAATTGTTTCACACATTTTTAATGTGCAATATTACTGTAACTATGCTTAAAACATGGTCCGAGTTATCGAGGGTAAAATTATATAGAAATTATCTAAAGGGAAACAAAAATTTCTTCGAGTTAGCAGGTGGTTATCAAGGGTAAAATTACAGTAAGTGTATGGAGAAAATCAAGGGGAAATCAATTTTGGTTTGAGTTTGCGAGGGTTCATGTTATCAGGAGTCGACTGTACCTGTGGCTCCATAAGCAAACACTGTGGCATTGTATCCTGTGATGACATTTTCAATCAATGGTTTGGCCACTTCACTGTAAACATCAGCCTGTAGAGTACAGATAAATGTATTACTTGTAGGTGACAGACGTTTGTTAGCAATGCCACATTGTTTATTGGTTTACCAAGAAATAACCCACGTGGGATGTTGGAAAAACATGGAAACAGTTACAGAGATGCCAACATCTGGAGATCTAAAATCTTGAGACTCTCTTTTTTTCACTACCCCCCCGGAATTTCAACAGACCCCATCCCCCCGACAAATTGACCCAGCCCCCAATGGAAATGTCTTAGGACATTACAAGAAGTCTTACATGAAATACATACTATCAAGAAGGCGAGATGTGGCGGTGTCATTTTCCTCTCTCCCCACCAAATCTCGCCTTTCTCATGTGGGGTGGTTTACATGCACGCTCGCGTTTTGCTCGCTCTACTATCCCTGAGGAAAAATGGGGACTACTCGTAGTCTATCATCATTCTAATGCCAGAAATAATCTTTGTAAGTGACTAAATACGAGCAAAAATGCCCCAGAAACTCTACTGCGAATAAGAAAAATTCAAGTTTGGAGCCAAAAATGGGCTTCAAAAGATGATTTTATTCGGGAAATACATGTATGGTGACCCGTACGGGAGAGCGGGAGATCAGTGCCGTATCAGGAAGACTCAAGGATAATCCGCGAGAGTTGGCATGTATGCAGTTAGCAAATCACAGGCCAAAGCAAGTGATCTATAGATCAGCAACTCAAGTGCATGTTACTAGATATGGCGAGTTACTTATTAGTGGGTTTCCAAACAGAAATACTGCTTGTTTACAATAACTTGAAACACAACATGCTCACAACCATGCAGGCTGTGATTTTGGAACCCCTACACTAAAAAAAAGGAATCAGTTACTCAAGACACTTCCTTGACCAAGCTAGAATATTAATAATATTGTAAAGACTTTTTCCCTTTGAAATTTTTGAAGGGGAGAAATCATCACAATACTGCGATTTAACATATCTAAAACCCTAACCTTTTTCCCAAACAGGATATAATTAATGCTTATCAGTAATGAAATTATTTTGTAATGGGCGTGGGGATTAACCCACTCACAAAACAAAACAAAAACTATCTGACCGCTGATTCCAGAAAAAAATAAATATGTCATTATATGACTCACCTGACTTGAGTTTGGACCAAATGCACAATCAAAAATGTACTGTTTTTCTCTGGACCTGTTTGCCCTCAAAACATCATCTTGATCTTCATTAGGATCCTTCAATACCACCAGCTGAAATATAATATGTCAATCCACCAGAGTTACTGAAATAACTCTCACAGAAATATCCTAATATTTCCTTTAAGGGGTCACTAGTTAAGTAAGCCTGTGCCACAGACAAAACTGAACTCCAGTTAAGTCCCAGAACAAGGACATTGGCACTGCTTCAGACATACAAACAGAGGTTAACTTAATTTTGCATTTGCAACACAGGCTACAGTCCAGTGCATGTAGAGTGCATGCCCAAACTAAGCACACCAAAATATTCGCGTAAATTATCAGGGTGCAAAGAAAATCATTTTTACAGCTTGCCATTCGGGCAAGCTGAAGCTAGCATTTATTAGCCCAGACGTCATTTCAACTAGCCCCAATAACTTTTTGGTCTTCTGTTATTCAAATTCCTCATAAGACATCACTTGCCTGTCGGGCACGTTAAAAACAGAATTCACTAGCCCGATAGCAAAATCCACTAGCCCCGGGCTATCGGACACTACTTTCTTTGCACGCTGATTATACACATCAGTAAATAGGAGTCTATGCATCCGACTGGACGAGTCCATGCGACTAGGCTGAGAAACTTACACGTCTGCTCTGAAATCAAATGCATCAGTGCACATTAAGACACATTAGTATATAATAGCCCTCTCTTTGTTTAGAAGAGAAATGTGTTAGTGAAAAGCAAACTGATAAAACTTTGGATATAACTGTGGAAATACAAATTTAAATGAAGATATGATCATTGCAGTGGTAATTGCAATTTAAGGAATTACAAATTTAATCCAATAATCTGCTCCCAATGTATGGGTCTTCATGGCTCAATTGGTAGAGCACTGCAGCGCTAATGCAGAGGCCACGAGTTTCAATACCGTTGAAGTCCCGAAATTATTTTCAATTACCACTGCCACAATCATATCTTCAATTAAATTTGTATTTCCTGTGACTTAAAATTTGTAATGAAAAGCGGTTGTAAGCAACCACTCCCATAAACGACCATGAACACTTTTAGGATTACACAACTGGACTTTTCCTTTGTTTTTAAGCTCTTGCAAGCGACTTCTCAATGGCCACTCAGAGTCTTATTCATAGTAAATCAGCACTTAAATGAAACTGCACCTGCACTAATGGTCTAAAAAAAGTTTAGCCATGTCTATTTCAGATAACCTTAAACAAAATTTCTTTTGTTTTTTCTTTATGAATTATTAATGAGCTCTCATAAGCGACCACCTTCTATTGTTTTACCACGCAGTCGCTTACAACAGCTCATTCTCGTAAGTGACTGGCTCTGGTTACAACCACTTTTTCGAATTTCTGAGGTGGTCGCTTATGAGAGCTGGGACTATAGTTAATACATCTTGTTCAGTAGTTAATATTTTTGACATATTACAATATTGCTGCACTTCCTTGTTTTCAATGCAATGAATTTTTCCAAGAAAAAATTCCTTGCATAGAAACAGTATTGTTTCAAGTCTCATTGCTTCATTCATATTCATTGAATAATTTTTTCGGAAATTTACAAGAAAAGAATACTAAGTCTTTGTTTTATTACTCTCTTTTATTATTGAATAAAGAAGCTAGGACCGAAGCAAACTCTTCTAAGAACCGGAACACAAAGATGGATGGTTTTGAATGACTACGAGACTAAAAACAAACAGGCACAATGAGCTTTCCCATATAAACTAAAGTAATGAGAGCCACGATATCCTTTCCGATCTCTCAAGCACCGCGCAAAACATGCACTTACAAAAGCATATAACGTTTGAACCCAAACTTAACGAGCTACAAGTTGTAAAGGGGTACCCGTGGTGTAATCATCGTTATTGCAAAGAGCAGTCCTCTCAAACGGCGAACTGTATCCATAAAAATATTGAATGTAAACTTATATAGCCACTCACATTTTCGTCAAGCACATGCACAATCTCCGTACAATTTTTATCCTCCACTTCTGTAGCATTCAAAGGCCTCACTCTAACGGCCACCTTGAACAAAGATAATCATACAGCCATAAATGAACAAACGCTCATACAGGGGTGGAAAACAAATTCACAACCTTCTACACACAGTCTGCACATGCAGACTGTTTCGCCGAGAAGTCATTAATCGGGAGTGAGCGGCGTTACGGAGTAATTACAAACACTTGCGAAAAGTTAAGCTTAAAACTTCACAATTTTAACACCGTTTACTTACTATTAAATTATGAGTGTTCTCTTTTTCCTTATCTGGCATGATGACTTCGCAGTTTACTTAGCAGATACTTGTGTTGAATGTTGATAAACGACTGAGAGTCCCAGCAGCTCGTACTCTCGAAAATTCGATTCCATTCGCTACTTTTTTTCGCCATTTTGGAATGCCAACGCACGTGTTTGCGCGCTTTATCTGCGCGCATTCTTCGAAACCGCGTACACTGCTACATTCTAAGAGAAAAGAAGCAGGAAATAACGAAAATAAAACAGAAGATTACGACTTTCTGCTACGTTCTGATATTGTCTTTGCTGTCGATTTCTAGGCTTTTCACAAGTTGGATATAGCCAATCACAGGGCAGATCTATCAACATTCACAGCTTGTGTGACATCACATAACACTGACTGTAGTCAAGGCGACAAGTTAATAACAAGCACAGAACGAAGCCGGAAGGGTATTTATAACACAACTTCGAATCAGGTTTTTCTTTCAAACATTTTTGATAAACTGAAAATACATTAGGCAGAATTCGGATTTAATTTCTCAAAGCTCTTTTAGTGCTGAATACTTATTAATAGTGGACTGAGAAAAGAAAAAAACAAACTTACCAATTTGTCATTTTGATTACCCCTTCAAGCAAAGTTAATTAATTAACATAACTGGGCATATGATATCGAGCCATTAAATAATGCATGCAGTACTACTACCACAGGCAACCCAACAACATTTTGCAAGTTGTTTTTTAATGTTGTCACTTTTGCTCAACCTTTTCTTCCGGCTTATGGGAGCTTTGCCTGCCATTAATTTCTAGCCACTGTAGGCATTTCAATGGTTTTCAAAAAGGAAAGACCCAATCCAATTCATACTATTTGTAAATCCCATATTATCACTTTCCCTGTTCTCTTATTGAAAAATGTGATGATCAGCAAGGGACAAAGAACTTTTCAACCTTCTATATCCATGGACTTGTTCTTTATGAGTCTCTCCACAGCTCAATGGATATAGATCACACCTGGTGTTTGGGAGGTCATTGGTTTGAATTCTCTCAGGGACTTAAGGAGCGCGATCCATTCAACCTGATAATCCAGACTGGTCCGACCGGGAAAAGTGGTCCACCTCAAAGGGTGGACCCGTTTTTTCGAAACTTTTCCAGTTGGACCGAACCGATCCATTGAGTTTTGGACCAAAATTTCCGGAAATTTTGGTTGAATGGATCGTGCCCAAGATCTTTGCTTTGTTCCATGCTCAAGTTTTATCTAGGGAGGCTCCACCCAAGGTCGAACCACTAACATTTTTATATACAATTTTTGGCAGAAAATGTATACTTCCTTATGACAAATGATATCCCTTTCATATTCCAAATTTAGAAATTTCCATCCCTTTTAATGGCTGTAGATGCACTGTCTTAAAAATATGAATCAATTCAGAGAAACCAGAACGTTTTCTTAACTATTTTACAGCCCTAAAATTTTATACATTCGTTAGCCTTTTTGGGCCTTTTACAGGCAGAAATGACCAATTCCTTACCCTTTCTTACACTTTTCTTACCCTTCTTTGGGAAAATAAGATGCATCCTAAAGATGCAACCCACCATCTTGTTTTGTCCCTTTGGTAGTACCCAGACCCTTGCATCACAGCTAGATAGCTCGACCCCGCTACCTAGCTTCTTACGCCCTGCCTCTCACTGAAACAATAGAGAGCTTAAGATTCTGAGATGAGGACCACTACGAGAAGGAGATTTTGTCAGTACTTAAGGGACGTACCATTAGAAATAACCGGAAGTGGGGTGACAATCCCCCCCAAAAAATACTGCAAGAGAAACTTGTCTAAAAAAAAATTCTGCGAACGGTGATAAGTAAAAAAAAAGTTCTTTCAGAGGAAGCGACAAGTATAGTATTTAAGGTTTAAAAAAGTATGGGGTAAGGGAAAGTTTATTTAATATGACAAGGGGGGGGGATGAAGATATTGAGGGGGGGCTCCGAAAATTTTTAGACACCCGAAGGGAGGGCTCTGAAAAAATTTTTTGCGCTAGGAGAGGGGGCTCCGAAAATTTGTATACTTCAAAACCAACGCATGACATCATCATACAGATCGGATGGTTTTCAACTCAACAATTTAATGACCTGTGCAACTCAGCTATATCACGTGGTTTACAGATATAACAAATGTAGTCTCAGTAATTATTACACTCTTGTTCATCCTAAAAATGCTTTAGAAAATTGTATCAGGGGGGGGGCTCTGAAATTTTTTCGACTACCAAGGAGGGGGCTCCTAAAAAATTGAACCGCTAGCGAGGGGGGCTGCTAAAATTTCAAGCTTTGAGTTTCAATATCTTCATCCCCCCCTTGTCATATTAAATGAACTTTCCCTAAGGGGAAAAAGGTAACATAAAACAATGCCTAAAGATAAAGAGAATTGAAATTCTTAATTCGTTTTCTTTGTCTCATATGTTTACTTCGCTTTCTAAAGAGGCCTCTCAAGTTTATTCAGGACTTTTTTCTTTTATACAATATTCCATAAAGTACAACGTCCTCTATGAGTGGTCGTTGTCTATGAGCTATCACTGATCTATCTCAGTTTTGAAAATGTTTGCGAGATTTATACTTTGGATAGAGCAAGGGAAGGCCTCGAAAAATGCTTACCAATAAATGTTTACAAGTAATATCGAGACAGAGTAATTTTTGGCGACCACAAAAATGCCTTAAAAAACAAATTTAAAAAGGCAACAAGAGTGCGATGATGATAGATACTCAACACAAGGTGAGCCGTCATTTTAGATTTATCGAGCAACTCATTTGTCCTGACCTGATTGGTCAAACGCATTGTCTACTACTGGTAAGGTTACAGCCAAGTTAAAAGAAATTGAGCAAACTTTCTGCACACCCTTCAACCGCCAGAGGGTGCCCGTGGGTAACCACGTCCCTTTTACCACTTGTGACGTCATCAGTTTACAGGCATTGTCCAACCTTGGGCGCTTTCCGTTTAGTCAAAATTTCAGGAATTTTCGGTTGGGCGGTAAATGGAACACGCTTCGTCGGTTCATCCCACTGGAAAATTCTCAGAAAAAGTGGAAAATCTGGGCGCTTTCCATTTAGTCAAAATTTACGGAATTTCCGGTTCAGCGGTAAATGGGATACGTTTCGTCGGTTCGTCCCACTGGAAAATTCCCAGAAAAAGTGGAAAATCTAAAAAGGTGGTCCCGTTTTCCCGGTTGGAATTTCCGAACGGAATGTCGTGTTCCATTTACGTTTCACGTAGTTTGTACCAGTTCCAGGTCCACGGTCGGGCACCGCCACGTACCGAGGTTTACGACCAAATGGAACAACTTTTTACCAATCGGAAATTCCACTTTTCCTACCACCAAAATTTCCGGGTTTTTTTCCTAAATGGAAAGCGCCCTCTAAAAAGGTGGGCCAGTTTTCCCGGTTGGAATTTCCGAACGAAATGTCGTGTTCCATTTCCGTTTCTCGTAGTTTGTACCAGTTCCAGGTTCACCGTCGGGCACCGCCACGTACCGGGGTTTACGACTAAATGGAACAACTTTTTACCAATCGGAAATTCCACTTTTGCTCCCACCGAAATTTCCGGGTTTTTTTCCTAAACGGAAAGCGCCCCTCGTTTCCAGTGTTCTCTCTCTTACTCCGAGAGACAATCTTTCTTTCTTGAAGCAAGAGAGAGTACTCTGGGAACGAGGTTGGTCATTGTCAACTTTGACACTTAACTTGTGCAGGGGGACAAGATCTTTGAAACTATACCCAAATAAGCGCCGTTAAGTGAAACATAAACGGGAAAATGGGCAACAAATAATGTAACTTTAAGTAGAAAATATTCCAATGAAACTCTTGTTTCACAAGCCCCCTGAAATGCCTTGAAATGCACTTCTTGAACTTGGGGGGTTTTGCGAAAACCTCGTCCTGCTGAAATAAAGCACTGTAAATGCCCAGGGACAGAAAAAAAGGACTTGGGAAAAGCAAATAAATCAAGGATGAAAAAATTGACTGCGCATGCGCTAACTTTGAAAGTGTAATTTGGGTTTTTGGCATCAAGATGGAGTAAATTACAAAGCAAACAAAGCGTACCGATTGAATGATAAAACAATTAGTGAGCTCGGTTTGAAAAAATAAAATAATGGTTTCTTATTGTCTCACAGATCAATTATTTGCTACCGCTCTCGGCATAGACCAATAATTGATTTGCTCGTAACTGATCGTAACTGACGAAACACATAACGTTTCTCTCCCTCCTAATAATAATTGTTAATTATTTGTTCTTGTAGAGAATGGTGCAACGTGGCATCCTTACTTGTCCCAAAGGGTGTAATTGTGACGTCCTCACTAGATGTGGTCAAAACTATCCACAACTTTTCTTCGTGCCACATTTTTCCGCTCGTTTAGACTTTCCCTCGCCCCCACTATCTGCCCCTGGGTCTCCGAGGATGTCCACAGCCCTATTGACTAATTCTTATAGAAAGGTTGCTTGGGAAAAGTAATTTTATTTGGCATATCTTATTTATCTTATCGAGAACTCCACGCACTGAAAGTTTTAGATCTTAAAATTTGGCTTAAGTTCACAAGTATTGCGACAAAATAGTTCTTGATGTGTTCTTTCGTGTGTTCAGGTTTTCTAAAGCGTCTTTAAATGACCCGCCCCGACATCTTCATTCATAACATTTTGAATTTTCTACGCCATTTTGGCACTGAGACGTACGGAACGTCAGTGCCATCAATGGCAATTTTGTAATTTCACAAGTGAAATTATAAATTAACGCTGAAATTTCGCGCCAAAATTAAGGAGTAATCTATCACCATGACGATGCGTGTTGGTTCCCGCTCACCCGGTTGTCATGGTTACCTCCCGTGATACCTTGCGGCTCCCTTCTTATGAACAGGCTCCTTCCCACACCCATCTACTGGCGAGGGGTTTAATCAAGGACTAGCTACGTCATGTCTTCTTCCTCTTGAGTTTTTTGCTAAATTTTTAAAGTCTGTCTTTCGCATCCATACTTATATCCTCAACAATCTTTAATTTATTATAGTGACTAATAACTCTGTGCATGAATTATTTGTTTTCCTTGCAAGTCCGTTTGCAAGAAATAAATTTATATACATATACATAAATTATTATACATTGTACTTACTGCGTGCCTTTTCATTGGCTAAGAGCCTACAGTTTATTTTGAAAATAAGCGCAACCTACAGATTAGTTAATTATCTGCTAGCAGAAAACTGACTTGTCTGCAGTTTGCGTGCGCAATGCATGATTTCCAAGAGCAATTTCAAACTATGTTCCGGGCGACGGTGTGTTGTTATTTTCTTCAAAACAATCTATG